TCAAGTGGTAAAGGAAGTGGGTATCCTTTCCTCGCCTGATGCTCTGGTCCCTTCTGATAAGACTAGACCTAGGTACTTTACTGAAGTCTGACAGAGCCGAGCTTTAGATTTTGAGACCCTATATCTCTTTTCAGCTAAGAAATTGAGGAGAGCCTCAGTGCCTCCCTGAGACTTCCTTGGTTGGGGGACAAAGGAGAGTGTTATTTATGTACTGCAGAGTTTCAACTCAAGGGTGAGAAAAATTAGAAAGATCTTTGGACACGGCCTGTTTCAGCGACTTCTTTCTTATATTAAGGGCTGTCTGAGTAATAAACTTGTTCTTTAATGAATAAAAAGGTTTAAAGATTTTTATTTAGCTTTTGATCTATTGTGGAAAGCTTGGAGGAGTTAATAGGTTTAGCTCTAATGCCCTGCAAGTTCTCCAATATACACATTTGAAAGATTTTCCTTCCCGATTTTCTGATGCTATCATCATGGTCTCATTTAGAGTCCTCCAAGGGCACTGCTATTTTCCCCTCTGGATTCTCCATCCCTGGAACATCCAGGAGACTTTAAATACTTGGGTTAAATCTTGGAAGGCCTCTATACAGGAGTGAAGTTGGGGCTTGCCCAGAGTGAACTTTAGGGTCTGAGGGCTAAAGGAGATCCAGGCTGCGCTCAAGGGTAGTGAAGGCTTGAAGATGGGGTGTTACCCATGTAGAAGAGACAAGAGAAGAGGCATCCCTCAGTCTCCTTCTCTTCAGAGTGACCCAAGATGGAGGGAAAGGCTGGAGGGGCATTCCCCTTCACCCGCTTCCTCCCGTCCTCTGGGTCCCAGTGACTGTCATAGGTACCGCGGCATGGTTGCAAGTATGACCTTCACTTATGGTCCTGGAGAAGCTAGTTGGCATAACTAGTCAAGCTTATCTGCTTGTGGCCCTGGCCCTTCACCCTTGCTGGTTTCCTAGACCTACTTAGCCGGTAAGGTTCCCAGTGTACCCTAAGGGTCCACGAGACATTGTATTTGGGCAAGACACTTTAATGGAATGGAGGAAGTCTTTTAATATTATCTCTGGCTTCCCTTGCTATGGCCCTAGTGAAACACTGAAATCCCAGAGAATGGGACCAATTGACTTCCAAACATAAAATCCCCTTTTTGTTTAAACGCCAATGTAGTTGGATGCAGACCAGGTGCCTCAAAAAAGAACATAGGAATTGAATGGCTGTCCTCTTGACTGTTAAAGATGGAGCTTTGATATTTACAGATGGGGCATGGAGCCTGGTCCCTAATAGAGGGACATAGGAGGGAGGGGAATCCGGGAACTAGAAGTTTTCGACAAACAGCGGAATCCGGGAACTAGAAGTTTTCGACAAACAGCCAACGAGACTCCCCATGGAGAAAAAAATCCCATCCCACTAGGTGGCACTGTAGGATCTGAGATGTTATGTAAAAACTGACTCTCTCTCTCCAGGCAGAAGTTAGAAAGAGAGGTTTGCGGGTTAATAGGCTGTCCCCATAGTATGCCTCCCAGCAGAAGAAAATTAACTTGTCTCATAAAGGAACTGTTTAAATTCATTGGACAGTGCTGAGCTTTTACATGGAGGGAAGAAACAACCCCAAAGGAGAAGGAAACAATCCAAATGGGGAGGGAAGAGGATTTTTACTTGGGGTGAAATATCCCCTTATATAGTGCCATCAGTATCTATCATTAGAGGACAAAAAGCCCTTACTAGGTGAAAATTTAGACTGATCTTGAATTCCATCTCCAGGAAATCACAAACACAACTGTTTGTCTTGGTAATCAGGAATGTAACTCCAAGAGTTGTTGTGTCTGTCAGTTAGTGTCTTAGTAATCAGGAATGTAACTCACCAACTGACTCTACCCAGCAAGATTATATCCCTAGGCTGCAAAATCATCTGTAACATTGCATACAAAGAAGGGATAAGAGGCATGATAGCCATGAAAAGAAAGAAGGAAAAATGCAGTAGGAAAAGACTGGAAATCCTTGTGCCCATGCCCTGATAGCTGTCAGGGACTGGAGATAATACTGAGGGGTAGCCCCAGCCTAAAACCTTCATTTGCTCTAGAACGTCCTTCCAATCCCATGCGATGTCTGGGCCCTTTGTGAAAGGAAACTGGTTTGGAATAGACAAGAAGCCTCAGAAATGAAAGTAAAAGGTTAGAGGTCTGCTCTTCCTCACTCTTCTGATGGTCCCTTCTTCCTGCACCTAAATATGTTGTAGTTTTGCCATGCACCTTAATGTAGCAGTTTCTTGTTCTCTAAACTAGTACCTGGGTTCTTTGTCCTGCATCCAAGAAAATTGAGCATGGACACAAGGGTGGGGGTGGAGCAAAAGTTTAATAAGCGAAAGAAGAAATGCTCCGCAGCAGAGAGGGGAGTCCGAGTAGTTTGCCGAGTTACAGCTAAATCCAAAAGCTTTTATAAGAAACTCTTCTCATTTCTGTAGCAGTTTGAGCAACTTCTCTTATCAGTAAAGCTGTCTGTGCAACTCCCCTTATCTTATGCAGCTGTGGGTATGCCTCTAGGCAAGCACAAAGCGCTGCTTCTCTTGTTTGTTTAACTGTGGGTTTGTTTTAGGTAAGCCCCCATCCTCCTTGTGCCAGTTTCCATGGAGCCCACCATGTATATGCCTGAAAAGGGGAGGAATCTTTTTCCTGAGAGCTCACTGATTAACAAAGGGCTTCTGTACTGGACCATGTCTGCTAATCTGTGTGCAGGTGTAGCCTGAGTTTTTTTCCCAGTTTGTTTTAATTGTACCTGTTGCTGTGACTTTTCAGGCAGACCGTTTCTGCAGTCTGAGTTTGCCCTAACTGATTATTCCTTTCCTTCTCCCTCAGTTCTAGAGGGTGTCTCAAAGTAGAAAGATTGTGGGGTGGAGAGTAGACATTACTGAGAACAAAATATAAGAGACATTTCAAAAATATTATCCCCAAAGCAATTCAGGAAAGAATTATGGAGCAGTTGTTATTTGTTATATGCTGGAAATATGGTAGTGAGCAAAATAGCTGAGGCTCCTGTCCTTAATGAACTTACAGTCCTGAAAATTTTATAGGAGAGATTTCTATGCAAGGGCATAGAGGTATATACAAAAGGATGATTATTGAAACATTATTATGAAATCAGAAATGCCCATCAATAAGGAAATAATTCAGTAGACTGGAACAGCCATACTATGGAACAGCTGTACTATGGAATATTCAATAATGTATTGAAACATTATTATAATGTTTTCATTCTTATTAAAAGAATTATGTAAGTCTTATACATGCTCACATGGGAGAAAAGTCTATACATACTCATCTGAACGTGTGTTCTGTATACATACCAGACATGTCTACACGAGTAGACAAAAACCTTAAAAAATATATTAAGCCAACTATTAACAATGATTTCGTCTAGGAGATGAGATTTGACATCTACTAGGGGACGTCTCTCTTCCTCAGAAAAGGGAAGTAGAAGCTCTTTTAGGGAGAGGTGGAAAATCTGGAGGGAACAACAAAACCTGCTGAAGAGAGGCAGGGAGGGAACTTTCACCTTCATGTCATAAACTTGTATGTTGTTTGAATTTTGTACAACAAACTATGCATTACTTTGTAATTCTTAAGACAAATAATATAAGAAAAAGACATACCAATAGAGTTGCTCTGGTACACAACCTGGTTTACGTTTTTTGAATTATTATTTCTAAACTATACATTGGTGAAAGAAAAATATACAACAGACAACACAAAATTATGCTTTATTCCAGCTGTGTTGTCCCCTGTCCTCTATAAGAATGCAAGGCCTGGAGATGTTCCCCAAATCGAGGTTCCCTAGGACAGCAAAGGGGTCCCTCACCACCTTCTGCACCTTCACCCCATCCTTTTCTTCCCTCTTCAGCCCCTTTATGTTTCTAACTCTGTCCTGTCTCCCATTCAAAGTTTCTATCTTGCCCTTTTCCCCAAGTTGCTATCTTCTGCCTTAGAAGCAAGTCCCAAATTTCCTTTCATGTTTTACATATTTTCACCAATTCTGGTGTCTGTTGTAAATCAAAATTGCTGTCTGTCTCAGCCCATTCTGCTGTTTTAAGCCTAGCAGTTAGAGTCAGAGGAAGAAAAACGTTGCCTGAGTCCCTATCTGGGTTATAGTTTGTTTGGGGGTTTATTATCCCTACCCATCTAAAATTAGGCATACCTTGCTCTGCCTGCTTTAGTTTCTCTCCAGAAACATTACATCTTCCTACAAGATCTGTTTTCCCTACTACTGTGTTTTTGAACTTATTCTGAAAGAGTGTTTGGTCCCTCCCAACTTTGGGTTACACTGCAAAGTACTCTTTCAGAATCAAAATGAGTCTTTTTACCAGACCCCGTTTGGGGTTTCTTTTATTTAGGAAAAGTCTTCTGGAAACTGTACTCCTGCTACAGTTGTTTCAAATAGTTGTGTAGAACAACTAAGCCCTTCAGCTAATCTAAAAGCTCTAAATAATATTAGCACTTTGTTCATTCCACAGTAAATTTCTGAATGCTTGCTATATACCTCAGGTCAACCTGTTTAATTTTTTTCTGAATATTTTAGTCAAACATAGTAATATAATGTGTTTAGCTTTCAAATACAGTAATATAATGGTTTATTTATAGCAAGTGAAATAAATCTCTTGTGCCAAAAGCTCATTTCAAAAAGGAAAATAAACTAAGATCCAGGTCATGGGGGGGAAAAAAAAAGCCAACCACCTGATAGCTGTAAATACTCTCTTAAGCATCCTCAACATAAATTCACAAATTAGTTCTTTTTATTACAGAATAAGTGCTGGTTATGCAGTAGCTTTATCTAGGAGTAACTTTATCTCATAACAGCGTCTTCCTTTTATCTTGTGTTTCTGTTAAATTTTGAAGGCTATATTTCATTCACTTACCGTAGTTAAGTCGATAATATGTAGTCCAACCAGAAAATATAGTCAGATTGGAGCCAAGCATTGTAAATTACCTGTAAATAAATATGATGAAATTTTCTCTTTACAGATGCAAGTATTGGCATTACGATGAAAACTTGCTCACTTCAAGCGTTGTCATTGTCTTCCATAATGAAGGATGGTCAACCCTCATGAGAACAGTCCACAGTGTAATTAAAAGGACTCCAAGGAAATATTTAGCAGAAATTGTGTTAATTGACGATTTCAGTAATAAAGGTAATGGCTGTAAAACTCACATTTTGTCCATAAAATAAGTTAAGCATGAATAATTGCAAAAATATGATTTTGAAATAATTAACTTTAAAAAATTAATTGCATCTATTGATAGCATCTATTATCAACAAGTTGACGCTGTGCCGAGCATTGTTGTGAGTTATTTTGTTTAATACTAACAGTAATCCTTGCAGTAGATATTATTATGTCCGTTTTACATGCTCAGAGATATACAAGTAGTACACAAAACTTTGGTTGTACACAAAAATTTAGTAAAAGTATACCACTGATTGTAATGTTAGAAGTTAAGATAAACATAGGTAGCATGAAAATATCATTCAGAATGGCTTTATAAAAAAGCTTCCTCCAAAATGTAATTGAGAATTCTTGCAGTCTGGATAAACCTTTGCTGGTTTTGCAAGGACATGATTACAATTGTGAAACTGTACACATATGTTAGCATGAATACATAGAAATATGACCTATTTTTCCCTTCGTCTCTGTGCAGCTGATCCTTTTATTAACTAGTCATTTTTAAGTACACTAGAGAATGTATAGCTTTAAAATTTTTAGTCGTATCAAATGCATTTAGAGGCTTTAAGATACATTAAAACTTTTTTCAGTTCTCATGTTAATGTCAAATCTAAAAGCTTTTAGGCACAACGTTTTGTGTATGTCCATTTTGTTGCAAATTTCTATGACAGTAATGTTTTCATTAAAATACTATTTCTATCTTAAGACAAATGATATTGTTGATACAATAATAATTTACATGTACAAAAATCTAAATCTATAAAATAACTTTTCAAAATCCCCCAATTTTACTAATTTTAAGAACCTGTGTATTATTAATACCAGTAAAAGTTTACCATATCCTAAAAAAAAGTGAAGATACACCAAAAGGTATTGAGCATCCTCAAATAACTAAGAACACAATTTCAGACCTCAGAGTATTGTGTATTTTTTTTACTCTTGTCTTTTTTTTTTATCTTTACTTCTTTTACAAATCTCTAATGAAGACAGTCGTGCAGGGTCTCTTGAGTTTAGAGTAGGCAGAGAAGTTTGGGCTACCCTTGAACAAAAGTACAGCTTTAATTAGTTTTTTCAATTTCAAAACAACCTTAAAATCAACCTTAAAATCTCAGTCCTATCCTTAGTAAAATTACATACTGTTTGGTTAATCAGACTTGAGTGATAATTTGGTATGTACTTTCCCTAATATATTCAGAAAGTAAAACTTTTAAGATAACGATTTTTCTTTTGAAGACAAAATGCATATAAAAGGAGCTAACTCATAATAACACTTGGGTTTCTGGGCATTACAGTATTCTCTATAAAGATTTGGAGCTTTTAACAATAGAGCAAATTACTCCACACACGTGTGCATCAGCTAACTGTGGCTGAGTTGGTCCGAAATAAAAGCAAACCCACACTCTCAGTGGCTCGCACAGTGAAGGGTTAGCTTTTGCTCAAACTACACGGTCCCTGCGGGTCAGCACTAGCTCTGCCCCCCATCCTCAGTGCAGGACCCAGGCGTGCAGAACAGCCTCAGTTCGGACACTGCCTGCAGAGGGGCAGTGGGAAAGAAGACACACACAAGCGGCCTCTTCACGCTTCTATGCGAGTGACTGATGTCATTTCCACCCACCTCTCATTGGCCACGGCAAGTCACACATACCCCAGCCTGCAGTCAGAACCAAGAATCTAAACTCGAAGCATAGGCCATCAATTCATTTCTGCCCATAAAAACTTAAGATGTGTTTAAGTTGCATATGCAAAAAATCCTCCTAATGGAATTCAAAAAGGCTTTAAAAAATAATTTAGGACTTCACTGAACTTTAAAAAGAAGATGATAAAGACTTTTTTTTTTAAGTTAACTTGAAGGGAAAATTACTCAGGTTTTCTGAGGGGAAAAACATGATTAAGCACGAGAATCTTATTTATAATACTTATTAAAACTGGATACCAAAATAGAAAGTTCTTTTTCTCAATTCCAGATACCCACATGTGAGTATCTTACTAATAATATATGCCCTAAAATGAGTAAAATATTAAGTATACAGTCTGATTTGCCCATTTAACCACTAACTCGTCTCTAAATACAGCAGTTTTCCTGTGATTGCATATTCATGGGCCAAATTTTTAAGCAATTTTAAAACAATTTGTGTGTCCTCAAGAAGCATCTTTTAACTGATCTGCAGCTCATTCTGACTGTGGTGAGCTAATTTCATGGACTCATAGTGGTACAAACAAAAGCAGTTCTCTTATAATGGGAAGCCAAAGATAGAAACTTTGCCAGATGTGTCTAGTTTTTATAACACAAAACTTCCTCTACTAAATTACAAACACATATTATACATATATGTATGTGTAATTAGAATTATCTTTATAATGTATAATTATACATTTGATGCTTAAGATAAAGAGAAAATGAGATTTTTTGATTATTTGCCAACTTGGTGGGAACCATATTCATCATATGAAGGTTGTAGCTTTCAACACTGATTGTGGTTGGGGAAAGATGGCCCAGAAACAAATGTTAAATAACCTATACCCTGTGTGGATTCCAGTGAAGTTGTACAGTATTATTAGTAGGCAGTGCATCTTCAGAAACCCTAACCATTGCTTCTGCCAACAGCCAACAAAATGTTGTTCCTGAAAGCGTTCAGATTTGACATTAACATGTGAACAGGAACAAAAATTTTAATATCTCTTAAAACCTTAACTGTCAATTGGAATAATCACTGTTTAGAGGGACGTTTGATAATTCTCAGACTAACCAGTTCTCTGTAGACATATTAAACTCAAAATTAACTTAAATAATATACTTCACCTTCCTTCTTAATAGATAAAACGTTCAATCTGGTCCATGTAAAATTACTGTCTACCCAATGCACCTGTTTCTTATTCTTGTTTCCTGAGAAAAATAATAATTAATTGGTTTCTGTTTATTAGTCTAATTTATAATATCAATTGATTTTTCTTAATAGAGCACTTAAAAGAAAAACTGGATGAATATATTAAGCTGTGGAATGGCCTAGTGAAGGTATTTCGAAATGAAAGAAGGGAAGGTTTAATTCAAGCACGAAGTATTGGTGCTCAGAAGGCTAAACTTGGACAGGTAGGAAGCATTTGATATCTACAATGTCAACATTTTGGGTTTGGTAACTAAATCATATACATTTTTAATCATTCTTCAGTTTTTTTAAATTGAAATGAGAATGCTGGCTTAAACAGATAACTTGTGTGTCAGAATTGACTATAATGCTAATTTTTATTAGCATCTAATTTTAAATTGTGTGTAATATATGATGTAACATATACGAGGAGTATTCTTTCACCTGCCTCTTTTTTTTAAGGTTTTGATATACCTTGATGCCCACTGTGAGGTGGCAGTTAACTGGTATGCACCACTTGTAGCTCCCATATCTAAGGACAGGTAACATTACCTTGCTTTTTTTCTTTCCTGGTTGAAAGTAAACCTTGTCCTGGAAGGGCAAATAATATTTTCATCCTTTGATTCCTGTTCTATTCAGTGTGTCAAGTGTGCATTAGTGTTATCCCTCATCTAGTTGTTTCCTTGGGTGAAGCTAGACTGATACTGTGGACTGATTTAAATGTAGGCAGTCTGGCATTTGGGAAAAACCCAGGGTTCCTCACTCAGGAATCATTTTGTGGTTGGGTTATTAAGACTCCTCTATCTCCAGGCACTTTCCCTAAGAGTAATAGGAATTGCTCCCTCTAAACTGGGGTAAGAGTACTAAACACTTGAGGAACCATGCTTTGAAATTATACCTATTGATTTTTGTGACTTTTAAATTAGTACTTTCAATAGTAAAGACCAAGTGTTACTTGTGTCAAGGATTTGGGTTCCTATAGAAACATTAAAGTTTAGAAATACACAACTATTCCATGGAATTGTGGCAATCACCATTAAATTTCCAGAAATGTCTAAAACAATACAAGGCACCGTCAGTTTTCTAGCTCCAAAGGCTTCCTTGCTTCTAGTCCATAATTTGGAAAATAAAACATGTCCGTGTGGCAAATGGCAAATGGCATGAATCAAAGGCAGAACTTTGGAGGATTTCATCATGAGAGGATTTAATGTGAAGGCCGATCACGAACATTTTTCACATGCTGTCTGATTTAATCCTCACAGCAACCCTGCAGGATAGAGATTATTAGCCCCATTTGACTGAAGAGGATACCGAGGCTTAGAGAAATTAAGTAATTTTCCCCAAATCAGATAGCTAATAAACTGTCAGACCAAGACCTCCCTGGGACACTTTATGCTGCACCATGTATTTAGGAATGTGAAAATCATAAGAAGTGAGGAAAGTTAACTGACCAAGTGTCAGATAACTCTCTCTAGGTGAATTCCAGCAGGCTTCTGGGTAGTGAGGAAGTGCTTTTCCAGATTCCAGTGGCAGATTCCACGAATCTGACAATGACCCTCCAGTGTGAGTTCACAGAAGGAAGCACCTGTTCTAGACTCTACTTCCTCCATATTAAAGTTCTAAGCCCTGTAGGTTTTCCCTTTTACTTGGTTTTTAAACTTCTTAAAAGCACCTTGACCTGGATATAAGCAGCTGTCATTTTTGTTTTAGGAAAATAGATTTTAAAATCCTTTCTGAGGAGATGAACATTGCAACAAGCAGGGTACCAGATAATCTTTGTAATGTCACTTTGACATCGAATTGGTTATAGAGTACTAGCATTTTCGTGAAGCCCAAATATAAGAGATTTTTTGTTCCAAATTCTCAGACTACTTCTTACGTTCTTCAGCAAGTTTTGAGGGATTTTTTTTGCTTTTTTTTTTTTTAAAGCAACAATACCTTTTTTTTTTTTTTTTTTTTTTTGCAATAAAAGCTGTTTTCTTGCAGTTAGAGGAGTGAGGAAGATCAAGCAAAAGTACAGAAACAAATTTTCATAATAACTATTGCCAAGAAATAGAAAGCAATAAAGGGTCGAGAGAACCGCTAAGAATGTGGCAAGTACTATTGGTGACCCCACACACACATACGTGCATGCACACGCGCACATGAGCTTTTTCATGGGTGATAGGGAAAGTAACAGGCAAGAAAATCTTATAAATAATATAAAATTACCAAAATAAAGTTGCCTTTAGTACCAAAGTGAAAAGGAGAAAAACTCTGTTAAACTCAGTGATACAGTTCTTTGTCCCTGACATTCGTCTGTGAGCCTAGGGAGGGGGCTCCTCTCTCCTGCCCTTACAAAAACAGGCTTTTTGGCTTTTATGGGACATTCATTTACTGTATTTCCCGTTAGATACTAAAGCCCCCCAGTGCACAAACAAATCAACAACAAAAAGAGATAATGTAGTTAGGCATGCTGAACTAGTCTTGGGTTCTTAAATGCTTTTTCATTTTCTGTAAATGTTTCAGAACTACATGTACTGTGCCTCTAATAGATTACATAGATGGGAATGATTATTCCATTGAACCACAGCAAGGTGGGGATGAAGATGGTTTTGCCAGAGGGGCCTGGGACTGGAGTTTACTATGGAAACGTATTCCTCTAAGCCACAAGGAAAAGGCCAAAAGAAAACATAAAACTGAACCTTATCGGTAAAGACTATTACTTTATTTTCTTATGCTGAATGTTTATCTAAGTTCTTTTTTTGTTTCTTCCCCATGAACTCGTATAAATGTGTGGGTCCATACGTACGCTTCCATTTGATCTTTGCTGCCATCATCAACACAATACAGAACCATTTGCACTGTGCCGCTTATAGATGTCATAAATGGCAACACATATGAAATTATACCCCAAGGGGGCGGTGATGAAGATGGGTATGCCCGAGGAGCATGGGATTGGAGTATGCTCTGGAAACGGGTGCCTCTGACCCCTCAAGAGAAGAGACTGAGAAAGACAAAAACTGAACCATATCGGTAATCACTAAATCACTTACATAGTTTTCTTTTCTCCAGTTGCTGCTAACCTATTAACCTCTTGCCAAGCTAAAGAGTTGTTTTTAAAATTGTAGATGCTGTCTCAGATTCTGAAAGAGCATCTTTCCTTAAACTGTTTCAGAGCTTTCACTCTACTCCACTTGCTCCACTGTAATTGCTTTTAGCCTAAATGCGATGTCCACTACTGAGACATACACACTTTCATTGGGGAAAGAAAAATAATGTAATATGGCATATGTTCCAAGTACAAGTGAAAAAAAAAAAGAAATCTTAGTTATCCTGGATTAGACATCAGATTTTATTCTTTTGATGACAGTGTCATTCTATACATTTAAAATACATAAATTACTTTAATCCAACCAAGACTTTTATTTCCACATTCATGCCGTGGGTATAATGTTAACAATGAAGAGCACTAGCAAGAGATTTTTGGGTTTTTCTCCCCTTTTTCTGTTATGTTAACTCTCAGATACTAATTTTGTACTAAAATCTGATGAATCACAATACATGACTTTAAAAAACATTACGTAGAATCCTTTATTGCTTCATTCTCAGAAAAGTGATTTATTAAAAGAAAACTCTATTCAAAAATCAGCTTTTGACCTTCTTGTGGTTCTTTTAGTAGAACAACTTATGCTACTCTCTTCTTTTGATCTTGTAATTAGAACATTTTACTGTCTCTGTAAAAAATGACCCCAAATGAAATGTTTGCTCAAATGTTAGTATAGCCTTCTCCTGAATGTGTCTAATCTCATTTTTCTGATCCTATGGTTCTGCTTTTGGTCTCTCTCTCCTTGTTACACTGCTGATAATGTTAGAATTCTGTTTTGGGATGGTGCTTCCAATGTCATGGAAATGCTGGTGGGATTTGGGCATGTCATCATATCAAGATACTGAATGGCAAACATAAAGAAGTTATAGCACTTAATTAATTATAGTAGCTTAATTGGACATTTACGAATTTTTTTTGGTAAATTTCTTATTCAGAATAGTCCAGGAAATTACTGCTTACCCGCTTAACTTAACACATAACTGTGGGAGGAAAAAAAAAAGGGTGCTGAACAATTTTATACTTCTGCTAATTCCATAGGCCAGTAAAGAAAATTTTTTAAGTGAGCTAGAAAAATTAAAGGGAGGTTATCTGTTAATTAACTCACTGGTGTCCATGTTAAGATGCATTTTCAAGTATATACTGAGATGAATGGGAATATATTTAAAGATAAAAACACAGCTGCCAGGCAAGGTGGCTCACGCCTGTAATCCCAGCACTTTGGGAGGCCGAGGCAGGAGGATCACCAGAGGTCGGGAGTTTGAGATCAGCCTTGCTAACATGGTGAAACCCCATTTCTACTAAATATGCAAAATTAGCTGGGCATGGTGGTGTGCGCCTGTAATCCCAGCTACTCGGGAGGCTGAGGCAGGAGAATCGCTTGAACCTGGGAGGCGGAAGTTACAGTGAGCCGGGATCACACCACTGCACTCCAGCCTGGGCAACAGAGTAAGACTCGGTCTAAAAAAAAAAAGACACAGCTATAATGGAATAATCTTAAATGACAGTTAAATAAAAGTGACATGAAAATATCACCTAAAATGTAATAGTGTTGTTACTGAGTTAGACAGCATACTTTAAGAAGAAAAGGCATAAGAGAACTTTTTCCTGATGCTATTTTCTTTTAGTATTGAAAGTATTTCTTGATTCATTATCCACTCAACAAACATTTATTGAGTGCTTACCATATGCCAAGCACTATTTTCTGGGGATACATTTTTAAAGATATGTTTCCTCATTGAATGTAAAATACAGTGAGTCAGACAGAAATTAAACAGATAACTACATAAATAACCCTAAAATTAGCCTGGTGTGGTGGCACGTGCCTGTAGTCCCAGCAACTCAGCAGACTGAGGCAGAGGGATTGCTTGAGCCCAAGAGTTCAAGGCTGCAGCGAACAATGATTGTGCCACTGTACTACAGCCTGGGCAACAGAGTGAGACCCTGCCTCACAAAACAAACAAAACTCTGGCACAGCAGCTGTGATACGTAGTATGAAGAAAAATCACAGAGTACATGAGTTTATGGAAAGATGAACCTAATCCAGCTTGGGAAATCAGGAAAGGCCCTTCTGACAAAGTGTCATTTAGGCTGAGACCTGAAGGACGAAGGCCCAATTCTGTGGAGAGGGAACATTTCAGGATCGTTAATAACATGAATGAAGGCCTTGAGACAGAAAGGAGGCCTGCACATTCTAGGTGGGAGCAGAGCAGTGAAGGACTCAACGGGAAGAGAGACCGTGGTGAGCCCAGAGAGCCGGGAGAGGCTGGCATCACGCAGGCGCATGCGGAGGAGTCTGCTCTGGCTACTGTGTGATTAGCCTTGAGTAGGGGGCAGAAGAGAATAAAGGACACAAGCTCGGGACATACTGGAAAGTCCAAGCAGTGTTGGCCTGGTCTAGGCTGGTGGCAGTGAAGTTGGAAATAAGTCAGCAGATTCAAGATACATTTTCAAGGCTGGGTGCGGTGGCTCGTGCCTATAATCCTAGCACTTAGGGAGGCCTAGGCAGGTGGGACTTTTGATCCCAGGAGTTCTAGACCAGTCTGAGCAACATGGCCAAACCCTGTCTCTACAAAATACATAAAAAGGTAGCTGGATGTGTTGGTGCGCACTTGTATTCCCAGCTACTCAGGAGGCTGAGGTGGGAGGACTGCTTGAGCCTAGAAGATCAAGACTGCAGTGAGCCACAATCATGCCACTGTACTACAGGCTGGGCAATAGAGTGAGACCATATCTCAAAAAAAAAAAAAAGATTTTTGTTTTCAAGGTAGAATCAATGGAACCTTGAAATATGTTCCAATGAACCTATTTGAATAGATTGAATATTATGTATGATGAGGAAGTTACCCTAATAATAATGAGTGCCCTAAAATTTAAGAAACATGATGAATTAGTAATTAATTGTTCGGGGAGGGGAGCAGGGAGTAAAATAAATTCTGCCGTCATTTCTCCCAATGGTGGGAGTGACTTGTCCCTAAGAAGCTACCAAATCTTTTTTCTCTTGGACCTAAAAAGTATCTAATTTAAGGTCCATTCAAGAAGCCCCACAGATCCACAGATCACCTTTTTGCATTCCTACCTCCTGGCACAGTAAATACCTATGTCTAATTCTCCTGTGTCGTTTCTGTGCTACATTTGCAAACTCTGAATGAACTGTGGCTGTTCTACGATGATTTACACCCTTATTTGGCGAGTCCCTGAGCTATAAAAGTTAAAAATGACAGACTACTTCCATGGTGTATGGTTTTGTTCATCCAAGAATGACTCATAAATCAATGCAGAAGCAGTTAGCAGACCACGGCTGTATGGCTCAGTGTTTTTAAGAGTGAAAGAGAAAATTCTGTATTAACTAAAACTAAGGCTTAATTTTTAAATCCACAAAGGAACCAAGGCGCCCTCTAATGGTGAAATGAAACAATGCTCTATTTTGTAATGAACTATAGTTTCAGTTAGAAATTGTGGTGAATTCGTTAGGGAATTATGAACAGATTTTTTTCTTTTTTTGTAAAGGCTTTATAATTTCTTCATGTTTGGCCATCAGTTTTGTGTTTTCTATGCATTTTTAGGCTGTATTCTACAAGGCTTCTTGCCTATTGGTGAAGGGTTATTGGGGGTTTGTCTATGATGGTTATTGCAGTGTTTCTTTTTCTTAGGTCCCCAGCCATGGCTGGGGGATTATTTGCCATTGAACGAGAGTTCTTCTTTGAATTGGGTCTCTATGATCCAGGTCTCCAGATTTGGGGTGGTGAAAATTTTGAGATCTCATACAAGGTAACATTTTATTTCAACAGATGGAATTTTCCAAGTAGTTACTAACTTCTGTGGCTTTCAGATAAAGCTGGTTTCTTGTAGGGGGATAAAACCACAATGATATAATGCATTTCTCCAAATTATATAAAGAATGATTTAACGAAAATGGATGCCTTTGAGGGAAAAATAAGGCGAAATGCAAGCTCCAAACTTACCATATATATATACAGGGCTCAGCTCAAAATTGTGGCTAGCAACCTTTAGAAATGAAAATACCCCCACACCCCAACTTTCTATATACTGGAGCTTTTTATTATAGAAGCCCTTGGAAGAATCTGCGTGCATTAGGGCCACAGTTGACCACCCACTGATATAGTCACCCTTTATCACTCTAGGACATGATTCAAGACAGAAGCAGAGCCCCGCAATGGCTGCATCCTCAGGCTGACTTTGCAGCTGTCTTCCTGCAGCGCCTTCCCTGTTGTTGAAGCAGTCTTGGAGCAATACTACCTTCCATGCTCCAGCCCCCACCTCAACCCCCATTCCTACCCCCATTTTCCAAAAGAAAGAGAGAGAGAACTATATCACAGTTTGAGTTCAACAGGTTTTCATTACCTCTTGTCTTAAATGTCCTGTGCTTAGCACTGTGAGGGATAGAAGAGGAATAAACCAGTCCTTGCTCTCAAGGAATTTGATAAGAAGGTATTAGAATTATACTTAAATTCATAATGCAAGAAGGCAGAATGGCATTCAGTTGGTGTGTTTAAAAAACAGTGTCAGGCAGGCACATTGGCTCACGCCTGTAATCCCAGCACTTTGGGAGGCCGACATGGGCGGATCAGGAGGTCAAGAGATCGAGACCATCCTAGCCACACAAAAAATTAGCCAGGCATGGTGGTGCGCACCTGTAGTCCCAGCTACTTGGGAGGCTGAGGCAGGGGAATTGCTTGATCCAGGTGGCGGAGATTGCAGTAAGCCGAGATTGCACTACTGCACTCTAGCCTGGGTGACAGAGCAAGAGAGGAGAGGGGAGGGGAGGGGAGGGGAGCAGCGTTGTGCTAGATGTAGAATTTGAGGCAGAAGTAGAAAGATGGGTATGATGTTAGTAAGTACAGATAAGGGACAGGAGGGGGACTTCTAAGCAAGTAGCATGGGAGAAGTACAAAGAAGGGAACACAAGGAACGTATTCAGAGAACAGCAAGGAGCACACTTCAGCAGAATCAGGCAACATGAATAAGGAAGACATCTAAAAGATCAAATGGGAAGGTGTATTAGGGCCATATTGAAGAGAGCCTTTAGAGCTGAGTTAAGAGATTTTTATTTAATTTGATAAGCAGTGGAGAACGATCAAAGATATTAAGCAAGGGAATAACATGACCCAAAGCTGCCCTTCAGCTGTAATAATCTCTTGCTATAAATAAGGATAGTTGAGTAGAGAGAAGCTGAAGGTGAAGAAGCCAGTTAGGAGGTTATTATAATAATCACCCAAGTAGGAAATATATTAGCAATGGAAATGATGAATGAGGAATAAAGAATCCACAGGACTTTGCAAGGTTATATTGGGAGAAAGTTGCTAGGGGCTATGAGTATACAGTAAGAGGCCCCTTTGTAGCAGTTTATTATTAATACTATATTCCCTGTTGCCTTCTTGGTTGTTACATGAACTTTTAAAGGCAAATTATTTTAGGAACTTGTTTAGTTTAAGAATTCTGTGTGGACATTGTATATAATTAGATTTTAGATTTACACTTACAAGATAAATTTTCAGTTATGGTTTATGTTTGTATTTGAAACAAGTTTCACAATGTGTTTTTCCTTCATAGATATGGCAGTGTGGTGGCAAATTATTATTTGTTCCTTGTTCTCGTGTTGGACATATTTATCGTCTTGAGGGCTGGCAAGGAAATCCTCCGCCCATTTATGTTGGGTCTTCTCCAACTCTGAAGGTGAGTTTTTTGGATAAAAGGGGAAGAAAGAGAAATAACATTTATGTACCACATGCTATAGTAATTACTTAACAATTGTCAGCTTATTGAGTGGGGTAAATCTCTTCAGCAGTCATGTTGATTCTCACCTTGAACTTAGCTAGACTTATTCATGAAATACCTTATTGTTCTTTAAGATTATTCAGCGGAAGCAGGAGGATTCCTTGAGCCCAGGAGTTCAAGGCTGCAGTGAACTATGATTGCACCACTGCACTCCACCCTGGATGACAGAATGAGACCCCATCTCTTAAAAAAAAAAAAAAAAAAAAGATTGCACCCTATTTTTTTAATTGACAAGTAAATATTGTGTGTATCTTGTACAATATGATGTTTTAATATGTGTATGCATTGTGGGATGTCTAAATCTAGCTATTTAGACATGTATTATGTCACTTACTTGTTTTTGTGGTGAGAACACTTAAAATTTGTTTTCAGCAATTTTCATATATGTAATATATTGTAAATTGTAGTCACCATGTTGTATAATAGATCACTTGAAACTATTCTTCCTAACAGAAATTTTGTGTCCTTTGACCAAAATCAGCCCACTCCCCCCAATCCTCACTTTCTGGTAACCACCATTTTACTCTCTGTTTACTTGTTTACACTCCACATGTAAGTAATATCATGCTGTGTTTGTCTTATGTGCCTGGCTTATTTCATTTAACGTAATATTCATGTTTTTGCAAGTGACAGGATTTTTTTATTTTTTAAGGATTTTTTAAGGGTGCATAGTATTAATACCATCATGTATATATACCATATTTTCTTTACCCGTTCATCTGTTGATAGACACTTAGCTTGATTCTATCTCTTGGCTATCATGAATACTGCTGCAATGAACAGGAGTGTAGATACCTCTTCGATATACAGATTTTATGTCCTTTGGATATGTACCTAGTAATGAGATTGCTAGATCAGATAATAGTTCTATTTTTAATATTCTGAGGAACATCTGTACTGTTTTTCCATAGTGGCTGCACGATTTTGCATTCCCACCAATAGGTGGGAGGGCTATCTTGTGGTTTAATTTGCATTTCTCTGATAATTAATGATGTTGAGCATTTCTTCATATACCTGTTGGCTATTTGTATGTCTTCTTTTGAGAAATGTCTATTTGGGTCCTTTGCCCAATTTAATCAGATTGTTTCCTTACTACTGATTTGTTTGAGTTCCTTGTATATTATGGATATTAGCCCCTTACCAGATGTATGGTTCACAGATGTAGTCTCCCATTCCATAGATTGACTCTTTACTTTATTAATTGTTTCCTTTGCTTACAGAAGCTTCTTAGTTTGATAAAATTCCATTTGTCCGTGTTTATTTTTGTTGCCTGTTCTTTGGAGGTTGTTACATCCAAAACCAATGTCATGGAGTTTTTCTCTTTTCTTTTAGAAGTTTTACAGTTTTAGGTCTGCATGTAAGTTTTTAATCCATTTTGAGTTGATTTTTACATATGGTTTGAGATGAAGGTCTAGTTTCATTCTTTTGCATATGGATATCTAGTTTTCCAAGCACCACTTATTGAAGAGATTGTGTTTTCCCTAATGTGTTCTCAGCATCTACCTTGAAAATCAATTGACCATAAATGCATGGATTATTTCTGGCCTCTCTGTTCTGTTCTTTTGGTCTATGTGTCTGTTTTTATGTGAGTACCATACTGTTTTGATTACTATAGCTTTGTAGTAGATTCTGAAATCAGGTAGTGTGATGCCTCCAGCTTTGTTCTTTTTGCTCAAGATTGCTTTAGCTATTCAGCGTCTTTTGTGGATCCAGATGAATTTTAGGATGGATTTTTTTATTTCTGGGAAAAATGTCGTTGGAATTTAGATAGAGATTATATTGAATCTGTAGATTGCTTTTATAATATGGATATTTTAATAACATTAGTTCTTTGAATCCATGATCACAGGGTATCTTTCCATTTAATTTGTGTTTTCTTCAATTTATTTCATCAGTGTTTTATAGTTTTCAGCACGTAGATTTTTCACCTCCTAAATATTCTATTGTTTTGCTTAGCTATTGTAAATGGGATTGTTTTCTTAGTTTGTTTTACAGATAGACCACTGTTAGCATATAGAAGCACTACTGATTTTTCTATGTTGATTTTCCTGCAACTGTATTAGATTTGTTTATTAGTTCTAACAGCTTTTTTTTTTTTTTTTTTTTTTTTTGAGACGGAGTCTCGCTGTGTCGCCCAGGCTGGAGTGCAGTGGCCGGATCTCAGCTCATTGCAAGCTCCGCCTCCCGGGTTTTTACGCCATTCTCCTGCCTCAGCCTCCCGAGTAGCTGGGACTACAGGCGCCCACCACCTCGCCCGGCTAGTTTTTTGTATTTTTTAGTAGAGACGGGGTTTCACCGTGTTAGCCAGGATGGTCTCGAACTCCTGACCTCGTGATCCACCCGTCTCGGCCTCCCAAAGTGCTGGGATTACAGGCTTGAGCCACCGCGCCCGGCCTCTAACAGCTTTTGGTAGAGTCTCCTTAGGTTTTTTTTTTTTATTTGACAGTTTATTATTTAATTGATAAATTGTTTTTACATTTGGGACCTGAATGTTTAAGGCACTGAAATTATATCTTAAATGGGAACGTTATTTCATGAAAAACTCTAAGATATATGTAGAAAACAAAATATTAAATTATTAGCTGTATATTAGGTAAAAAGATAAACATTTACCTTAAATAGTGAGCATTAAGGTTTTGAATATATAAGATTATGTCATCTGCAGAGACAGTTTACTTCTTTTCTGATTTGGATGTCTTTTCTTTCTTTCTTTGGCCTAATTGCTCCGGGTAAAACTTCCAGTAGTATGTTGAATAGAAGTGGGGAGAGCGGGCATCCTTGTCTTGTTCTTAATTGTAGAGGAAGAGCTTTCAACTTTTCATCATTGAGTATAATGTTAGCTATGAACTTGTCGTATATGGCCTTTATTGTGTTGAGGTACAATCCTCATGTACCTAATTTGTTGAAGCTTTTTACATTGAATTTTGTCAAATGCCTTTTTTGAGATGATTATATGGTTTTTGTCCTTCATTCTGTTAATGTGGAGTATTACATTTACTGATTTGTGTATGTTGAATCATCCTTGCATCCCAGGGATAAATCCCACTTGATCATTATAAATGATCTTTTAATTATTTCTCTGTGTTTGATTTCAGTTAACTGAGCTTCTGTAAAACAATTATTCAGAATTATTTATCCAGGTCTGCTACTGGTATTCTCGTGCTATTATGTCCTCTTCATTTTTCATGTTTCTTGTTGACTTACATTAATGCCTGTGCATTTTGTGGACCAGTCACCTCTTGTGGACTTTATAGGCTGGTTTCAATGTGGAAAGACTTTCGTCTGTGGGGGAAGGAGGGTGAGGGTTCTTGCTGGGTGGGGTATAGCAGTTCTGGGACTACTAAGGATACCAGCTATGTATTCCCTGTGCAGATCAGCCCACCAAGGGCAGTGTTGGCAAAGATTCCAGTGCTCCTCAGTGGCTAATGCTGTAGATACGTACAGTGGCAGTGAGGCATGTTGGGGTCTTTGGGTATGGCTGCCAAGGTCATCCTGATTTTTCTCTCACTGCAGAAGTTGAATGCATCTTGGCACTGGTTCTGACTCATAGGCTTACTTGCAGCAGCAGTGGCACTTGTAGAGTGGCTGTGGAGCCGAGGACTGAAGCACAAGCAGGAGTGGAAAGACTATGGCTGCAGAATCTGGGGCAGTTTAAAAACCCCAGGGCTTAGAGCAAAGATACTTCACTACTGTATTGATAACAGAATATGAGGTACCAGATGCTTGTGAAGTAGCTTTTAGAGCCAAGAAAAGGAGCAGAAACATGCATAGAGTTAGAGCAGCTCCTGAGTTGGGGTGGGTTCTAGCTCTCTGTTGCAGCTGATCCAGGACCTGGAGATGGGGCATGCACAATAAAGGCGTGGCTCTGGGGCCTGGAGCATGAACTAGCTCACTATAGCAATGGTTCCAATGTCAGAGGTAGGCCCAGTGCAGCCACAGAGCCCGGGGCTGCAGTGTGGACACTAGCAGAGCAGCTGTGGCTTCAGGATCAGGGCTCACTGGGGCATGGGAGAGTTGGCAGAGCTTTTCCCAAAGTAATTCAAGAGTAGCTGCTTCTTGGATGGTGGTGAGTGTTCAGAAGCATCTCCCTCTCTGGGGTTCCCCAGCAAAAGGGCTGTTGTTTACCTCAGTGGCCAGTGATGCCAGTGTCCTCTACAGAGCAGACCTCTGGAAACTATGGTAGTTCCTGCCGCATGGCCAATACCAATAGCATCTGCCTTTCTTCTTTTCTCCTAGCTACCTCCTTGTGGCTCAGGTATGTAGACCTCACAGGTGATCCTGTCCTATGTAGATATTCTTAGTTTCTTTTGCTCCATTGTGTTGCTGCGGATTCTTCAATGGGCCCTGGAGTTCTCTGGGCTCTTTGGGTTTGTGAATAGCTGTCTGTATTTGTTTTTTAGTTGGGGGTGAATAAAGGCTGGTGTCTCCTACTTTGCCATCTTGGTGACCTCACCTCCCATTATATCCCATTCTGATTAAGATTCCTATATTGAATGTTCTCCACGAATACATTTCAAATAAATTCTAAAAAGTGTAGAGAAATAGTTGAAGGGAAAAATACTAGCTTCTGTTATTGACACATGAGTAAAATGTGGTTTTGTTTTTTTTTTAATTTAGATAATCATGTTAGGAGTTTGCATAGTAAGCAAAATCAAATTTTTGAACAATGCTTACAAGAGATTAATATCTCTTGTCCCTCAAAGATTGAAAAGTTAATGTGAATATCCTTTGTCCTATTGCCTTCTGCCTCCAAATTCTCCATCTCTATCATATAAAATAGAGGAAAATTGGCCGGGCGCAGTGGCTCACGCCTGTAATCCCAGCACTTTGGGAGGCTGAGGTGGGCGGATCACGAGGTCAGCAGTTCGAGACCAGCCTGACCAACATGGTGAAACCCT